CGTCTGCAACCATGGCTGCAGGACGGGATTGGGATACACGGAGACCTCAATAAACGGAGCTGGTGGGACCTTGCTTTCCTGTGCCCTTTGCAGCTCCGGCCACTGGAGTCTGTGCCTTCCTGGGGAGGGGGACAAGGCACTGGACGTCCGGAACGGGATTTCTGCGGCTCGATTAAAACCCACAGCCCTGGAGTCCATGCTATGCTATAGAGCTGTGTAGAACGCTGTGTGGGGTTTCGGAGGCCGGAAATCTTTAGGGGGGTGGAAGGTGGGGGGTGGGAGGAGACCAAGCTTGGGTGAATTTGGAGCAAAACAACCGGATGAAGGAAATGGCCAGAGGAAGCTTGAGGGGCTGCGAACAGCCAGGTCATTTCCCACGGCCCGGCCGGCTGGTCCCACTCACCAGGGTTAAGGCCAGGCCTCTTGAGGACATGCGGTCTCCTGCCCAGGGACTGGGCAGTCACTGTGCAGTAGGTGGAGTAGGTACACACAGACACGTGGTACCTACCTCCTGCCCTGGCCTGTGTTAGCAGCTCCATGGTCCCAACCACAGGGCACAAGTGCAGTTAAGGAGGGGGTGGGTAAGTAAGGGCCCAGGCCAAATCACCCCTCATGACATCACCTACCCTCCATGTATCCTCAGCTCCCCACTTTGGGAGAACCCTGATGAGAGCAATAAAGAACTACTTTGCAAGATGTGGAACTGCCTTGCAAGGTAGTTCTTTATTCTCATCAAACCCCTAAACCAAACCCCTGCTATTGAAGGGTAGCAACTCTTAACACCCTGTAGGACAGAGAACAGCCCCTAAGGTTTGAGCAGAGAGCCCATCAGTTAGGAGCACAGGGCTTAACCCCCATGTCACCAAGGTTCCTCACGGAAGGACCTCGACTCCAGATCAAGGCCTGCCTCTGTGGTACCTGGTGGAACATGGGCCAGCTGTCTTTCACCCATAGAAATGATGTCAGGAGCAACTCCACTGAGCTGGGGCTGGCCAAGGTCCCCACCCCCACCCCACTCCCATTTATGGCATTGGGTGGGCAAAGATCTGGGACATTTTCCAGCAGAGGTGGTGGGTGGCTGGGGGCAGTGGCCTGTTGTGGTTGAGGCGGTGTGGGTGGTGTCAAGGCGTGGGTGGTGTCAAGGCGTGTTGGTGTGAATGAATCCTTCCCTCTAATGAGAGGTCCAGTTGTCCTGAGGGTCTGGGTGCCCTGCCTCTGAGGAGGAACAGTCTTGGGATGGGGGTCCTGAGAAAAGGCCCCGTGTGGCTGGGGGCAGTGAGAGGAAGGGGCTGGGCTTCCCAGTGGCAGCCAGCTTCTTTCTCTGAACCCAGCCCAGCCCTAGGGCTTGTGGGCTGTTGGCCCCTCCTGGCCCCAGAGCCCAGCCTTCTGGGCTGTTCTTTGGCCAGAATCTGTTGGAGCAATTGGGGGCATCTGGAGGAGGAGCAGGAGCCTCAGAGGGCTGGGGACACATCACCCCATGTCCTGGACCCCAAGCCCATGGTAGCCCCTCTGCTCAGAGTGGACCCCCCTGCATTCAGCCCCACTCTTCCTCCCTGTGGGCTCCTGTCAGAATCCACTTGAAATGTGTACCCCAAGTGCTCATGAGTACGTTTTTTGTGATATTCTGAGTGTGTGCATGCAGGGCCACAAGTGTTCCCACTCGTGTGATACAGGCATGTGCTCAGTTCCCCAGAAGCGTGGCCAGGCAGGTTTGTGTGCAGGTCTGTGTGTCTGCCCTCAGAATGTGTGCAAGGCTCTGCTTGTGCCCTCCACCTCTGCCGCCCAAGACCCCTCCAGTCCCCTAGTGAGCAACCTTTCCCAGCCTGGCATCACAGTTCATCTTCATCCGGTCATCTCCTCCCTCTCCCACTTTTAGCCAGCCCTACAAGGACAAGGACAAGCATCTGAGGCTCTGTCTTAGGCGAGCACTGTGATCGCCTGGGTTCTTCCGCTAACACCTCTGTCTCCCTGGAGTTGGGGACACTGAGAGGTTCCGTACATGGTGGGGGGCTGTGGTTGGTTGGGTCACAGAGCAAGCTGGAACAGTGGGCAAGCTTTGAAGGGTGAGTGGAGTGAGCGAGCCCCCGCCCCCATCTGGATGGAGAGCCTTTGAAAGAACATCTGGAACTGGGGCTCCTGGCAAGCTGGTCTCTGGATGTGTAAAACCAAACCACAAAGTGGATCCCGACAGTGCCACTTACTTGTGTGTCCCTCAGTGCCTCACCCCCCCACCTCGGCTGGTTCCCAGCCACTTCCCTGCTCCGGAGCCTGGCTAGCCTGGACAGATGGCACTGTGTCCCGGGGCGTAGAGAAGGGGGTAGTGGAGAGCAAGGAGGAAACAGCTGCCTGGGACTCCTGGGCACTGGGCCTGCAGGCACCTGCATGGTCAGGTGGGCAGGGGGGCCTGCTGTGGCTGTGGCCACTGGGAACCCAACAAGCACCACATCCTCCACCCAGCCTGGGGAGGCCAGGTGCAGCGGGCCCATTGTCCCTGCTGCAACCTTCCTTATGCACCCCATCCTGCCCCCTCCCCAGGAAGACCAAGCTTTGTAAATATGGAAACAAACAGCTCCCAGCCCCCTCCCCACTGAAACCCGGAAGTGCCGGCAGGGAGGTCGCACCTGCAGGGAAATGACAGTCAGGACCTTGGCGGGCGCCAGCCGGTGTATCCTGCCAGCCGGTCGCCCCGCAACGCAACTGGTCTTAAGAAGTCCTCTGCTCATCATCTGCGGGTGGGGGAGGGGGTACGCTTCCGGATGTTTTGTGTAGCCCTGCCCCAAAGGTCCAGTGTGACATTTGTGGTTTGGGGAGTGTCAGGCATGGGGAGCCTGGGGCCGTGGTCGGGTCAGGGCTTCAGGCCAGGTGATCGGTCCCGGGGCGTCCTCGGGGCCCTCTGCCCGGTGGCGGCGCGGGGCGGCGGGCCAGGGCACTGGGCTGCGCACTGAGATAAGCTTCCTGCGCTTCCGCCCCTGCTGCTGCCGCGCTCCCCTTCCTGTTTTCTTGTGCCAGAGAGCCTGTGAGCCTGCGGGAGGGGAAGCAGGCCCTGAGGGGCTCTCTCTGGGCTGCCCACCCAACCCCCTCAACCTGGGCTGGGTGTCCTTGGGCTCCTGGGGTTGGCGCTGTGGGTGGGAGGTAGGAAGAGGAAACTGGAATGGAGGGGGAACTACCTCTCCCACCCCCACAGCTCGATGAAAGATCCTCCATTTCTGGCCTGGGTCTTGGGGTCCCCATGCGGGTTGGAGGTCGGCCGCTGGGGGCCTGCGTCTCTGGACACCCAGGCCTGAGTGGTGGATGGAAGCCTAGTACCCTTGGCTGAGCAGCCCTCTGCCCTAGAGCCAGTGGGCATCCTCTGGCCAGGGGTGTGGCCTGCCTGTGGGGCATTACCGGCCACCCACAGGCTGAGGCACTGGCCCACACTACCTCAGTCACGGCCACGTGGTGTCTGCTTCCATTCCCAGGAAATGTCCACCACCTTGGTAAGCCCAGCAGGCAAATGACACAGTTCTAAAATTAGACCTCAGTGGTTGTGAGCCAAGTGTAGCACAGGGAGCCCCAAGTGTGTGCTGAGAAACAACACACACACACACACACACACACTCGGCAGCCCAGCTGAGTGGGGGTGGAGAGGTTGTTTTTGCAGCGCTGAGGTGGAGGAGCTGGTGCCAAAGGAGACCCGCCCTCCCATTGGCTGACCCAGGTCGTCACCCCCCCACACCATGGGTGGGGAGGGCATCCGTCCTGTCCCCTTTTGTCACTTTGTGTGTGTCATTGGTGCCCTGCTGTAGACCAGGGGTGTCTATTTCCAGTCCCCTGACCCCCCAAATGGGTGGGGCTGGCAGAACACAGCACCTTGGTTGGAGGTGGGGACAGGGAGAATGCGAAGGCCCCTTCAGGGCCTAGGCTTAGCAGGGGACCAAGGGTAATGCTGTGGGGAGGGCTAACAGCTTCCCCCCAGGACCTGGGCCCTACTCAGTAAGAGCCAAAGGAGGGGAGTGGACTTCTCAACCCTTTGGGACACAAATGGGGTGGGGGGGGGAGTTCAGGGGGCGGTCCTGCTTTGGGACTCTGCTCTATTCCACAGGGTGCCCCCAAGCTAGGAAGGCAGAGGTCCTGTGTTGCATACATATGGGACATGCACTCCACAGGCACACATGTTCACACGCACTCACAGGCAAGATCTCAGAGCCCCTGGGGGCTCTACATGCATGTTGGGTGGTGGGTGCCAGGCAGGTGGACCAAGGGGCATGTGACCATCCTCTTTGCTTAGAAGATTTGCCAAGACCTGCGGATCATGTGATAAGAGGGGAGTCACTTGTGGGTGTGCTCCAGCACACACACACCCTATTAAGTGGACAAAGGGTTGGGCTGTTTGAGGAGAGGTGAGCGGTTATGCACAGAGGGGGTGTTCTTACTCCCATAAGCTCAAATCTCATGGGGGTGCAGGAAAGGGACAGAGGGTTGAGAGAGTGGGGATGCCCACCCCAGGCTTCCCCCACTGTGATGGGATGGAGAAAGGCTTGTCCAGGGTCCCTTGGGTACCATGCTGTCCTTCTCAACGACTGCCCAACACAGCACGAGGGAGGGCATGGGCACTTTATTGTGGCCTTGCCCAGGGGACCCCAACTCCAGCTGCCTCCTTACAAAGCAGTCACGGTCAACCCTCATGTTTGAAAAACCCTTGCTACATTGACACTTCTGGTCATGGCAAACCCCTTGGGGGAAAATGGTTAAAGTTTAACTAAACATTAAATATATTGTATTATATTGCATATAAAAAAGACAAGGTAAAAAAAAATCAATGCAGTCTGGTTCTAAAAAACGCACGGCAGGTAAAAGGGAGGCACTTCAAAACTATCCCTGGCGGGTGGGTCACCTAGTCCCAGGCCTAAGCCTCCAGGAAACCCCACTGGAGGAGTCCCAGACGCCTGCCTATCGCTGGTGGGCAGAGGCCAAGTAGTCCAGCAAAAGGGCTGGGGGTGGCTGACAGCGGTTCCGGCGACAGGAGCATCCCCTGGGCGTGGTACGCGGAGCCCGCGGTGTGCACAGGTGTGCAACAGGAAGCGGCGGGCAGGGAAGCTCAGCATGGCCGCGGCAGTGGCGGCGGCCTAGCCAGAGATGCAGGCGCTGTAGTACACGGCGCTGCTGGCGTCGGACAGTGCGGAGATGAGGCTGCTCTCCTCCGGGCACGTCATGGCGCGCGGGCCCAGTTTGGCCAGCGCTACGTGGTACGGGATCGCGGCGGCATCGGCCCGAGTCCGGCTGCAATTGAGGTACTGGTCAAACTCGGTGAGGTCCACGTCGGTCCACAGCTCCATAGCTGGCCCTAGCGGCTCGGCAGCGCCCTCCAGCGGCGGGGCCTCGGGCGGCGGCGACAGAGGCCCAGGATAGGGGGTCGGGCCCGGCGCGCCCAGGGCACCATAATAGAAGCCGGCGGGAGGCGGCGCGGTCCGCAGCGCCTCAGCCAGGGGCGCCCCGTAGCAGCCGCCCAGGTCCCGCGGTAGCTCAGCCGGAGCATAGGGCGCACGGAATGGCCGTAGAGCGCAGTCTTCGGGCGGCAGTGGGAAGAAGGCTGCCTCGCCTGCTTCCAGGCCGTCCAGCGGCGAGCGCTCGGGCGTGGGCAGCCCCAGGCCGTCGAGCTCGGCGCCTAGCGTCGGCAGCTCGCGAAAGGCGCGGGCTGGACCAGGCGCCGCAGAGAAGGGCTCGGGCGGCTGGGGCAGGCTCGGGAGCAGGAGACCGCCGGGCTCCAACCGCCGGCCCTTGCGCGCCTGCTTCTTGCGGCGCGGACGGTACTTGTAGTTGGGGTGCTCGCGCAAGTGCTGCACGCGCAGTCGTTCGGCCTCCTCCACGAAGGGGCGCTTCTCCGCCGGGCTTAGCTCCTTCCACGCCTTGCCTGCGGGCGGGGCGCCGGTCAGTGGGCTGCGGGCGTGAGGGAGGTGGGGGGTGGGGAAGCAGCCGTCCCTCTTGCGCCCTGGGCGCGCGACAGCCCCGGCCTGTCTGGTCCCACGGGAGGAACGGTCCCCGCCCGAGGCCCCCCTTGCCTCTCGTGCCCTCAACTACTCACCCAGCATCTTGCTGAGAACAGCGTTGTGCAGGTCTGGGTTCTGCTGCGCCAGCCGCTTGCGCTCGTCCTTGGCCCACACCATGAAGGCGTTCATGGGCCGCCGGATGCGCGACTCGTCGGCCGCCTGCCGCTCCCCGCGGCCCGCCAGGCTGGGGCCATAGCGCCCCGGCTCGGGGCTGCGGGGCGGGCTGGACGGCGCGGCAGGCGCGGCGGGGGCTGGAAGGCCACGCGGCTCAGCGGCGGCCCCGGGAGTCGGGGCCCATGCACAGTCGCGGCGGGCTGGCGGCTCGTCCCGTGCGCCGTAGCCGGGCGGCGATCTCTGCATTCCAGCTGGGCGCGGCCTGGGCGGGACGAGCGCGGAGCGCGGCGGCGGCGGGCGGTGTACGGGCGGGGTGCGGACGACTGTAGGACTGGTGGCCGGGCGCCCGCCGGGCGCCCAGATATAGCGGCACGGGGCCAATGGGCGGCGGGCGGGCGGGGCGCGGGCCAGGCCGCCCCCTCCCCCCGGGGCTTCTTTCTTCTCCACCGGATTCTGTGCGACCTCCCTCCCGCGGCCCTCTCCCCCGCCCTCTCTGAGGGAGAGACCCCCGAGTGGGAAGGGGCTGCAGATGCGCCAGGGCTCGGAGGGGGCCTCCTCTTGGGGGGCTGACTGGCTTTCAAGCCGAGCTTTTGTCGCCCCACCCACGGAGTCGCCGGGTGGTAGTTGGGGGAGGGTAACTGCCCAGCTCGCTACGCCCACGCCCCCCCCCCAGGTTATTATAGGAAGGAGGGGTGTCTATTTCCACACCAAGTTCTCCGGGACATTCTCCCGCCTGTAAGTCTTCTCTAGAGTCTGACTTCGAAAGTGTGTGGGCCGTGGGAAAGGCAGACACACCGGGAGGGGCCCTGTGAGTTGCTGGGACATTTGTCATCCACTCCCACCACCACCACCACCACCCTGCACCGCAGGCACGGATGGATGGACCTGGAAACCTGGGGCCTTCGAGCAGAACTCTATGTCTGTCTTGTGTTAAGGGAGCAGGGCAGTCTGGTCTGAGTGCTGGCAGGTGGGTGCATGACCTGGATGGGGGCCTGGGCCGAGGGTGGGGTTATGAAAGCCTGGGTCTCACTTCATGGTCTGTTCCCAGTGGGAGCAAGACCCGCAGTGGCTGCAGCCAGAGAGCATGGCTCCCTGGAGACTCCTGGCTGCAGCTCCCCATAGACCCCAGGGAGTGAGCACATCTCAAGAGGGACCTCAAACCCCCTGTGTTTGCCGTAGTCCCCCTTCCAGGAAACGGTGGTCAGGAAAGTGGATTTGGGCTTGACCAGGGTACAGGGGCCTGGGGGAGCTGAAGCACCTCTGCTGTCCTTGGTGGCCCTCAGGGCCCCCCCCCCACACACACACACCTGGGGGCTGCAGCAAGGCCATCCTGTCGCTAGGTCAGGTCCTGCCATATTGGGTATCCATCAGTCTGGGGAATGATGAGTGGGGTCTGCAGGATCCCCCAGCTCTTCAGGGTGGGCCACTAGGGGCCCAGGATGGGGCATGGGTGCACAGAGGTGACCACTTGACCTGGAAGGAGAATGGCCTTTCCTGGACAAGAAGCCCAGGGGACTCACAGATCTTGTACGCAGCCAGGCCCCTCAGAGGGATACACTCCCGCCTCCAGGGCTAACCGTGGCCTAGGCCCTATCCAGGTTGGAGTTGTGGGGTGGTTAGGGGGTGACCAGGTCCTGTCCAGGTGGAGTTGGTGGGAGGGGGTGAGGAAGACTCCAGTCGGAGGCCCCTCGGGGGTCTCTGAAGATCAGCTGCTTTGAGCCTCTTAGGATCCCTGGCCACCCTACAGTGCTCAGAGCCCAGAACTGTAGAAGCTGCTTGGAGGGGAGGCTGAGTCCTGCATTACCTCTCCCCCCACCCCCACCCCCAGAGCGCTTGCTTGGCGCCAGACAGGGGCCCTCCCCTGGGCAGGGCTGCAGGACTCAGGACTCAGGTGTCTGGGCCTTCATGTCCTGTGAGCTGCTGGTGGGGGTGATTGGTGGGAGTCCAGTGGGGACCCTGACCCTGAGGGATGGCATGCATGCTGGGAGGGGGCTGCCGGGGGGCACCAGATGGTGTGGGGATCTGCTAGGTCTTCTAAGTTTGTGCTGGGTTGGGGGGGGGGGGCAGGGTGAAGTGGGCCCTTATGCTGAGGCTGCCCCGGGCCTTGGGGTCACAAGTTATTCTCTGTACTGAAGAGACCAGGGCCTGCTCAGTGAGTCCCCACCTCAGCGCCCCCAAAGGTGGACCCTGAGGCTTCCCCAGCCTTGAAACAAAGCCAAGGCTGCTTCTTCTGCCACGGGTTGTCCCCCTCAGGCTGACCAGGCCGTAGTGGATTGCCCACCTCCAGAAGGGCCCACTCAGAAACTCCTGTGAGAAAGCCGGGTGGGGTATGAAGTGGAAGCAGTCTGTTTGGCCCCCACTCCTTGCCCTCCCACAGCCTGGGCCTCCTCCTTGGCTGGCTTTGGGTGGGGGCTTGGCTCTGATCCGGGTGGGGGGTGGCAGGACCTCCCAGGCGCTGCCCGGGCGTGGACCTCCCAGGCTCCCCCAGCAACTACCCCCAACCCCCGCGGCAGCTGCAGAAGCAGCGGGTCTGGGACCAATTACCGAGCCCAGGACCCGGGGCTCCGCTACTGGAGTGGGGGGTCCTCTCTCAGCCCAGCTCCAGGTGACAGGGTCTCCTGAGGGCTCAGCTCGGGAGGGGAGCCACCCCACTCTGAGAAGCAACAAGTTCCCTGCCTGGCAGTGACAATGCAGTCTCTGCCCTTCAGCCACTCCTGGTGGCGGCTCAGCCTGTGTGTGGCTGTGGGCTGGCTCCTGAGGGAGACGACCTCGAACCCTAGAGGCATTTGGCGTGTCACCATGACTAACTCTGGCTCTGCCTGGGAGTGGTGGGGTCTCCTGCCCTTCCAGTCTCCGCCTTAGGCCTGGCCTGCAACAGGAGCCCCACCTCAGGGAAGCACTGGGGGGTCTACAGGGGGCATTCTTTCCCAGGTATGGGGGGTGGGGCAGCAGTCAGTGCGTGTGATTGTGAGAGGACATGGGTGTGAGCAGGTGTGAGCAGGCAGGCATGGATGTGAGCAAACATGGTGTGAGGTGTGAGTGTGTATGTGCGTGTGCAGGTGAGTGGGTGACTGTGTGGATGAACGAGTGTGTCAGTAGGTGTGGGTAGACGTGTGCATGCTCCCCGGAGCCTCTCACGGGTTGGGTGGGGGTCTGTGTGCAAGACTCAGGAGGGGCTGGACAGTTGCCCACGGGGCTGGGGCTGGGGTGCCTGGGCTGAGGGAGAGGCAAGGGCAGGGGCGCAGGGTTGATGGTGTGACTGCGCCATGTGGCCAGTTATGACACATGGAAGGATGCTCGGTGACTTTAGGGGTGCTGCCGCCTGAGGACACTGCTCGGGACAGCTTGGCAGGCTGCATTGGACTGGGGCATGGGGTGAGGTTGGATGCCTAAGGGCTGAGGAGTTGGTGCCCATCTGGGGTACCGGGGGCTCTGCATGAGCTTGGGGGGCTATTGTGCAAGGCTCTGGGGAGTGTGTGTGGCTGCTGTGTGTCCCCTCAGGGTGTGCTGTGCACTGTATGGGTCTCCCCGGCTCAGCAGGAGCTCCATGGGAACCCAGCGAGGGGACCACCCCTCTTGGTTTCCACAGCAACAGCAGGGCGGGGCCAGGAAACACCAGCTCAGGAAGGAAGGCCGGCAGGGGGAGCTGGGGCTGAGCAGGCGCCAGGCTCTGTCCGGTGGCCCACCCGCCCGCCCGCCGGTCAGCGCTCCTGTCCAGCTTACTGCTCCCTGCTAACATCCCCCCCAACTCGCCCCCATACCTGGCGCCCCAGCCTGTAACCAAGAGCCCTGGGTCCTACCCTGCAAGCCCAGCCCTAGTTGCCCCCCCCACCCGGGCTGAGTGACTGGCTGTCCAGGAGACCCTGAACCCTAGAGAGGGGGTGGGTGGTGGGCAGGGCAATGCTAGAGCAGGTGGTCTGGGGGCCTGAGCCTGTGACTCCTGCCTTCCTAGACCAAGGGCCCGGTTCTGTTCTGGGGGAGTCCCCCTGGGTAGCCAGCCCTCTGCCAGGGGCTGGGCTAGCTTGTGTATGCACTCACTGGCCACTGCATCCCCCGAGGCCATCGTGGGGTGAGGACTGGGCAGTGCACGGTCGGATGGGGCCTACCCTCAGTGGGGAGGAGCGCAGGAGACATATGTGTCAGAACATGGCGGCCGAGGGAGAACAGTGGTGCCCGGGGTGGTCTGTCTTGCTGCCTCCCCTCCATGATGTTGGAAAATACGTGGGAATTGTGGGGCATATTCTCAACTGTGCAAAGACCCTGGGGCAGGGGAGCTGTTGGGCCTCGGAGAGGGCCTGGCAGAGGTCAGTGTGATGGCCTGAGGCTCGCTTTTCCCCAAGGAGAGGCCAGGCCTGGGAGGGTGTGAGCGGACTGAGGCCGGATTCTGCGTGCCCAGGAGGGCCTGCTGCCTGGGTCAGACCCGCAGACCTCTCCCACAGCCTCCTACCCTGCCCCCTGCCCAGAGCCCCTGGAGAAGGGGAGGGTGGAGTGGCCGCCAGGCTGTCGGGCTGGCAGGCTGTCTGTCGGGCGGCGTTTCTGGGAATTGTGTGGGGGGAAGTGCATTGTTCAGGACGGGCTGAAGCAGGCTGCCTTGCTGGCCTCTGGGGGACGCCATGGACCCCCACCCCACAGTCCTGTCAGGGAGGGGGTTGGACCTGGGCCAAGGCCGA